TATAAAGTACAATGCCTATCTGAAGAAATAGGAATATGGATTCCAGTTAATATGAAGGTATGGGGGGGATAGTACAGAAGATCTAAATACTTAGTATTGTATATTGATAAACTTTCTCTCCAATAATTAAATGTGTTTATATTTAAGGAAGATTACATATAAATTTGATTAAGTTCATTTTGGAACAAAAAGTTTTCTCACTCACTGAAACCACCTCGTGGTTCTGCACGTAGTATAGGTAATTCCACCATGATTCATAAAAGAATCTTTCAGAGACACCATGAAAGCCTTTGTTCAAGTTCTTTCTTTGCTCAAGATGCCTCTATGTCCTCTCAATACCCCACCCCCACCGTCTGTAAAAATCCCATTCATCTTTCAAGACTTAGTTCAAAGGCCACCTTTTTCATGGAAGCCTTTTTTTGAACTCAATTTTTTCTCTGTCCCTCCTCCACCACCCACCCTAGTCCCAAATATGGTCTCTTTTCTGAATCACCAGTGTTGAAAACTTCCTTTTTCATCTGTGTTCTTGTCTCAGTTCCCTTACTAGACAGTAGTACGCGCAACCCAGTCTTTACTCATCTTTGCAACCCCCACAGCAACCAGCACAAGGTCTTGTACTTAAGAGATGATCAATAAATATTTGTTAAGTGAATAAAGCAACAGTTAGCCTGTTAAAAGGGATGGTCATTATTTTAAAGGCCCTGAGGAATGGCTTATACAACTAGCAGCTAATCAAAAGCTGGTGGACCGCAGGAGGAGAAGCAAGAGGAGGGGGCGGCGGAGTGGTTGCACTGCTCCTCTGGACATCTGCCCCTATAAACTTACTGAATCCCCAACTCTTCCAGATGCTACAGAAGCTACGAAGCTGGGGCCTAAATAAGCACCTTCACCCATTCCAGGTTTTCCATCCTTGATCCATACAAGGAAAGGGAAGTGGAATTAGTATTGGAAATTAAGGCTACCCTTTCAACTTTAGGGTATAGCTAAAAAGAAAAGTTGAAACAACCACCTGAATTAATTCAGGCTCAAAAGCCACCCTGAAAAACAAGTATGGAAATTTCTGAGTAGAGGAAAGGACGTACAAAAAGACCAAGGAGGTAGTTCTTGAATTAACAATTGTTGGGCTAGGTGCCTGCAGCTCAGTGGTTAGGGTGCCAGCCACATACATGGGGCTGGTGGGTTCAAACCTGGCCCATGCCTGCTAAACAACAATGACAACAAAAAAAATAGCTGGGCATTGTGGCAGGCACCTATAGTCTCAGCTACTTGGGAGGCTGAGGCAAGAGAATCGCTAAAGCTCAAGAGTTTGAGGTAGCTGTGAGCTGTGACGCCATAGCTCTCTACTGAGGATAACATAATAAGACTCTGTCTCGGCTCGGCACCTGTGGCTCAAGTGGCTAAGGTGTCAGCCTAAGGTGGCAGGTTTGAATCCAGCCTGGGCCCGCCAAACAACAATGACGGCTGCAACCAAAAAATAGCTGGGTATTTGGCAGGCGCCTGTGGTCCCAGCTACTTGGGAGGCTGAGGCAGGAGACTCACTTGAGCCCTGGAGTTGGAGGTTGCTGTGAGCTGTGATGCCATGGCACTCTACCCAGGGGGATGGCTTAAGGCTCTGTCTCAAAAAACAAAAAAAGACTGTCTCAAAAAAAACCAAAATTGATTGTCTATGTTGATTACATTCAACAGTATTGAACCTTCATATTGCCTATACAGTCATTTGAGGACAATCTCTGTGACCACTAGAATAAACTACCTCAGGTTCAAAGCCATAGTCAACTAATAAACTGCAGTTTGTTTTACTGCAAAACAATATCCACCATTTAGAAAAAGTTGTCAGGGATTAAAACAAGATTCTCTTGCCATTAATCCATACCTCCTCCTCCTCCCTCCAGAAGTAAAAAATTTTATGCGATGAATTAAAGAAGTTTTCAACGGTCTTTATTTAAAATGAATATCTTTTTATGAGTTAATTCATAATTAACAGGCATAATTTCTAAATAATGTTTTTCTGCTTTCAAATTTTTAATTTTACACCATATCATTGAGGGCTCTGACCTTTTCTTTCTTTGACATTTTAACAGAACTTTAACTTCCAGTATATCAAGGTTTTGCTTTGTAGTTAATTTCAAAGCCGTCCTCATAAATGGAGAGACATCTGAAGTACTCTAGAAAATGCACTGGATTTGAAGTCAGAAAACGGGGCTTTGAAGCTAATTCTTGGTTCAAATAGAGCTGTTCTACCACTAGGTGTGCAACCTTGGGCAGGTTTCCTGATCTCACCAATCCTCAATTTACCTGTCTACAAAATGGGACTAATAACAGCACTTGCCGTTGGGAAGATTAAATGAGGTGAAATATGTATATACCTAGAACAATATGTGGTAAATAGTGTTTTGAAATGGTAAATGTTAGTTTTTAAACTCTGCTGTCGTTTGTTTTATAGTGTCAGTATGGTCATTGAACAGTTCAAAGCTTCCATTTCCTCATCTAAAAAATGGGACTACTGCCACTTACCACTTCCAGGATTAAGATAATTCATATATGAAAACAGTAGATATGAAAATATTAGACATACAGAAAACACTCAAATTATCAGTTATTTTGAATCACCTATCAGCTTAAAAATAAACCATAAGCTGGGGGCAGCGCCTGTGGCTCAAAGGAGTAGGGCACTGGCCCCATAAGCCGGAGGTGGCGGGTTCAAACCCAGCCCTGGCCCAAAACTGCAAAAAATAAATAAATAAATAAAACTAAAATAAATAAACCATAAGCTTAAAAGTTCAAGTAAACCATAAAATTGAAAATACCATACGGAAATTCACCTGTTATCTCAGACAACATCTGTGTTTAAAATGCATACTCAAGGAGTTTAGCTTGTTTTTAACTTATCAGAAACATAAAAGCTTTTGTAAAATGTAAATTCTAAATCTGCAAAACAAGAAACATCCCCTGGTTAAACCAAACTGCCCCGCTCTATTGTAATAAAGAAAGCCTGCATGTTTTCATATGGCAAAAACTGATGCACTCATTAAAATATGATTGCATGTATAAAAAATGCTTAGTTTTTGCTTTGTGAAAAAAATAACAAATGTACTTACTGTAGCTACTATAAACTTCGAGTCAATTCAACAAACGTTTTTATTCTGTGACACTGCTCCAGGTAATTCAGGTGGGAACTAAGGATGCAAGGGGAAGCAGAGCACAGGCTCTATGCTGGAAAGACACACAACCTACGGCTGGTAATCTCAAAATATTACTTGTAAAAGTCCTGAGGGGGTCCAATTTGAGTCAGCAAGCAGATAAACAGTATAACATATGCCAAAACAATAACTTCTTCCTTTCAACCAAAAAACTGCCTTTCAAAAGCAAAAGTCATGTTTCCTTTTAAAAAGTATAGTTGCTACCTGGAAATCTGTTGAATTTGTGCCAGAAACCAACATTTCTAAATGTAAACCTATAAAATAAAAGGTATCTGTAAACGAAAGGCTGAAATAACCCCAGGAGCAGCAACACAGTAATTAGCAACTTTTATAGAGTAATAACACCTTTCATATTCTTCCTACACTGGCTCTTTGAAGTTTCTAGTGTAATATGTAAAAGTTTCATTACATTAGGGTCCATCCTTGTGTGTTTTATAGGTGCCAGCATTAGGCAAAGCAAGATGTACTTACGTATCATGGGATCTTTTATAAGAAACTGTTCAATAATGCGCTAGCTTTGTGTCCAGTTTATTTTGTTACACCTGTCTTAGTAAGTCACTAAAAGCCTGTATTTATGGAAGATATTCACAGATCCACATATCATCTATATGAGCCATAAATCGTAGAGCAATTGAGCTTTAAAATTGTCCATTGCATATTCATGTGCACACCACTTGCAGTTTTAGACACATGTGAACTCTTTACTGAATTAAAGCAAAGAAGAAAAAAAAAAAGCTCAGTTCTACAATAAGCGATTACCAGAGGCAGAACAGAGTGCAGTTAATATGCTTGTTCCAGCAGATGTTCATCCCCGTAAATATTAAACATAACACAAGTTCCTCCAGGAATATGCAGGCAGTAATTTCACCACCTGAATAGTGCTGGTTAGAAACATTTAAGAGATAATGGGGTGGGGGCGGGCGGCGGAAAAAAAAAGGGGCAACAAGAGAGATGTTAAAGCAGCCAATGGGATTTTTAAGACACCCGCAACTGAAATTAAACTGCTTCCAGCGGCGATTTACCTACAGCAGCTCCTCAACGCGTGATCCCGGAGAAACTAAACCCGGAGTGTTCCCAGGCTGCGAGCCGCGAGCGTGGCAAAAAGAGATACATGGGGCGCCCAGTGGGGTGGGGTGGAGTACAACTGTACAGAGGTGTGAAGAAAGGGCCCAGAGGAATTGTGAACCTCGAGGAAACGAGTCTCTCTGGCCCAAGGCCTCTGGAATTCCCGCACGGAGGAACACTCGCCTCTTGCCCTGGGTGTTCACTTTTCCATCTCGGGTGGGAGTGGGTGGGAGACGCAGAAAGAATGCAGCCTCCAAGACCAGGCACAGGCAGAGAGACGGCTCGAGCATCCTCTAAGGCCACTTGGCCAGCAGCACCAACTCCAGGGGGTCGCTGGTGTGAACCCGAGGTTCTTAGAGAAGAGGAGCGGGAGCAATCGGAGGTCAGGGAAGTGAGAGGGGCTGGGGGCCAACGAATGAATCCCCAGGCGTTAGTGACACGTTCCTAAAATCGCTTCTTTCTCTCTCCATGGCTGCGTTCTGCCCCTGGCTACCTAGATCCCCAGCCCCGCGGGCCGCCGCGAGGAAGAGGACAGAAAAAGGGGCAAAGAGACCAGAAGACTGCCATGCATCCCCCTGGGAAGGCAGGAAGAGCCGCCGAAGCGGGTGCCCGGACCCACCCCACCCCCACGGCGGCCGGCAACCCGGAGCCCCCGGCCCAGGTGAGGGTGCGCGGGCCGCCGCGGCCGCCCCTCGCCGCTCCCGCCTGCTCTAAGCGGCCGGCACCGGGACTCACCACAGCGACTCGAGGTCCCATTCCTGGAGCAGGGCTAAGTCGAAGCTGTCCATGGTGGAAGGTGTCAGCAGCGCCGCCGCCGCTACCGCTG